CCAGTCATGCATCCACTTAAAATTTATTTAACGGTAAAATAATAGCTATCTGCAATATAAAAGGTATTCCTCATTCTTGACACTTCCTTCTCATTAGAGGAAACTCCATTACTGTCACTCTCCTGGCCTCTTGGCCCGCTCACTGACTTCCCAGGGAAGTGGGAGTGATAGATCTCGTTGGTGAGTTTGGGAGAGGCATCTGGGCTGCATGGGTAACCCCTTCCTCTCTTTTTTAAAATTTGGACCTAGGCTGTCCACAGGAACCATCAGTTCTGCTGCTCCATGGAGTGACTATAGAGAGCCTGCTGGTCATCTGGTGCTCCCTGGGTCTGGAAAAAGAATATGGCTAACTCTGGAAAGCTCACTTGCTGAGATATTTAAGCCACATTCTGCAATAAGTTTATTATTAGAAAATGTGACAGATTGATCCATATCTGCCTTATTTGTTCTTATTTCTCACTTCTTTAGAACTCAGGCTGAGAGAAATGATGCTTTTTATTGGAACCTTTCAAGTCCACTATGAGTTTTGAGCCTTCAGCTTTGTAGTATTTTGACCTTGGCAGAGTACTGAGGTTTATAGAGGCTGTGTCCACAGCTAAGTGTTTTTATGCAGACTGCACTGGAGCATTTGAAAGCCAAGAAAAGACCAGGTCTTTGGAGAACATGGCATCACAGAGCCTTCTGGAGATCAGATCTGTCCCCAGTGGTCCCAGGAACCTGTGGACCTATCTCCAGGAGCTGTGGTCACTGCAGGGGGCAGCTTTGCCAAGGTGGAAATAAAACTGCCCAGATACACAGCAGACATCCTCTCCTGAGGGTACAGCCACACTCTGGTGGAGCACAGCCCTACTGGTTAAGCCTAAAGGACTGGGTTAAAAGAAGAAAACACAGTGAAGGCTGAGGGGGAATCCTATTTCCCCTCCTAATGTTTCCTCCCACATGGAGGGAGCGCCTGGCAGCATTCCATCCCCTCACTGGCTGTTCCTGTTGGGAGGATGAGTGACCCAGCTTAGTAGAATTTAGAACAGTCTTTCTTCCCTCTGTTAGTGCCCTCAAGAAGGTTACATTTGGTTCTGTTCTTCCGTGCTATTATTTCACAGAAACTCACGCCTATGTGGGGAGGTCTGTGGTGGTCCAGCATTCTCTGTGACTCAGTGGACAAGTTTGCCTAATTCTCAGGTTAAATATTAGGAAGGCTACTTGCCTGCGGATGAAAGCCCTATTGTCTTTTATCAGCTTTATCAATAATGAAAGTGATGTTTGACTGCCAGCTGCCTTACTGTTTGTCCAGGTTTTCAACTGGTTCAGAATGAAGACAGGGAACAGATGTTCTATTTATTGGGCCTTCCCAAACTCTAGACAATAGCTAAACATGTATTGAGCACTTATGAAGTACTAAACACTTTGCACATGAACAATTCCTCAAGGTAAGCTATGAGGTGGGTGCTATTTTATTCCCATTTTATAGATGAGGAAATGGCTGTTTAGAGGAATTAAGGAACATGCCCATGGTCTGTTAAAGAGTGGTCTATTAACCTCAACAAAAAGCCCTTCAAACTAGCTCAAAGAAAAAAGGGGGTTAATTAAGAGGATACAATAAGCAACTTCATGGACATCTAAGAACACGATGAAAAGCATGATTCACCACCCAAGGAATGGAACTTTCTAGAAAGTTCATCTTTCATGGGGCTCCTGGCCACCTCTTCTATTCCTATCTGCTTGCTACACCAGTCTTTTGTTTTTCTCTGCAGAGTGGTTTTTTTCTGCTTCCCCAAACTTAAACTTACTCATAATTTTGACTTCTCATGGTGTCAATGCAAGCCAAAATTCTGTTTGATCTTTCAGTTCAAGCATCCATCCCATCGTCATCTGACTTAGACTCTCTTAGTGTCCTAATACCAAATTCTTTGGAAAGAGTATCTGATTGATCTGGCTTGAGAATTGATCTGGCTTGATCTTCAATGAGAATTTGATAGGGGTTGTGGCTGGGAAGCAATTGCAAATATGGGGCACACATGAGCTGGACAAGTACCTCCAATCTGTCTCCCTTAGTAAGGAAAATCAAAATTAGTCACATGTACAGAACAGGCCAATCAAGAGCCCCAGACTCTTCTTTTTAGAAGATCTTTTATTCTTGCTGGTGATTGCCTGCAGAGGGAGGTGGCCCTGGCTTGTTCCTTAAGCAAAAATGGTCAGGGTTTTTACCATGTGACCCTGATTTCCCCTATCACCACCATGACTAATTGGCTCAGAAGAGGTCATGTGACCAGAGGCAGCCTATCCATCAGCTGGGCAGTGACCTCTGAAATGGCCTAGCCTCCAAAGCTCTGCCCCACAGGGACAACAGTGACCAATCAAATTCTTCCCCTTCTAGAGGAGGAGGGGAAGATACAGAGTGAGGCAAGGCAATGATAGTAAGTGAAGGTCCTAAAGTGAAACCTTGTGGGGGGTGGGGTTCCCTTGGGGCGACAGTGGGCTGAAGTCATGAATAATCCCAAGTTATAAATAAACAAAGCTATGACTTACAGAAAAGTTACAGAATAGAAATGGTCAATTGGTAGTGACAGAAGTGGCTGAAGCAAAGACAAAGAAAAACTGCGTCACTCTAATGGTGAGAGATCCATAAATTTAAGGGGTAACAAGAAAGTTCCATTGCTAGAGCGGGTTGAAGCCTCCAGTTCTCCAACACTTTGCTGAGGTCCTGAGGCCCAGGCTTATTGTCCCCGTGTCCCCATGAGACTCCTGCCACATGTGTCCTCTCAGTCACCCTCCACTGTCCTTCGTGACATGATTAAAAGAGCCTAGCTAACCAGTGACTGAATGTGTCACCTCAGTATTCTAATATGTATAGCCTGGGATCAAATACAGGGGGAAGGAAGAAGAAAGGCAAAAAGTGGAGTGAAAGACACATGTATAAGGACTTGAAACAGCTACAGAGGAAATTTGCTATGTGGCATGTCAACTTGGTTGTCCATGCTCTTTGGCTGGTACATCCTGTGACTTTGTGCTGTGACTCCAGCTTCCTTGGCCTTTACCTGCCCGTCTCACTACCTGGAAAGAGACAGCAGCAGAAAGAACAGACTTCAAACCTTAGCGAGTTTATATTGTTTCATCAGTAGTTTGAGGGAAGAATTAGAGTCAAGAGCTGGAGAAACCAAGAGACTTGCTTGGTATTCCACAGCAGGTCTCTAAGAAGGGGCTTGAAGTCCCAAGTCTTAATCCTTCATCATCACTGCACAGACTGACCAAACGCCTATCACTCACGACCACAGTTATGTGCTCCACTTTTCAGGGTATTGATTTAAGATCTCACCGCCTTCCCCAGCAATTTCCTAAATCTCTAAAATTCCTTCTATAATTCTGACACCAATTCTGATGTGTGGGGTTCTTTCCCCACACCAACAATTTCCCCCTCTGTTCAGATGCCAATTGCAAGTCCCAGGTTGTTACCTGTGCTTCTGACAAATTGGCTATAGATGGGATGTTCCAAAGACACCCCTCCTTGGGTTTGATTAATTTGCTAGAGTGGCTCACAGAACTCAGAGAAACATTTTACTTACTAGATTACCAGTTTATTACAAAAGGAACAGCCAGATGGAAGAGATGCATAGGGCAAGGTGAGGGGAAAGTGTGCACAGTTTCCATGCGCTCTCAGAGGGCACCACTCTCCCCAAATCTCCATGTGTTCACCAACTCAGAAGCTCTCCAAACTCCATCCTTTTGGGTTTTTATGGAGGCTTTGTTACCGCCCAGGGGGGCGGGGGGGTCGTTTGCCCACCACAAGACACGCCAACAGTCAAGAGGCAAGGAGGTAGGAGAGAAAGGATTTTATTACAGCTTGCTAGCAAGGGGGAAGATGGCCCACTAATGTCCGAAAGAACCATCTTATAGAACAAAGACCACAGGCCAGTTATACAGGGGGCTGGTCTCCAGATGGGGGAGGCAGCTGGTCTTACTTCCTGATAGTCTTTTGTTTTATTGGCTATTCATCAGAGACCGGCGCAATGCCCTATACTCCCAATCTTTCAGTTGTCATTGATGATGGCTATCAGCATAGACTGTCTGCCCAGGAGTCACCACATTCCTAAGGATCACAAAAGAACAAAGTTATCAACTTATAGTAGCTGGGAGGGGCTGTAAAATCCACAGAGCATGTCTGGGTTAGTTAATCAGATGTCATTCAAAGTTGCACTATGGTTTCTTTTCCACAATGTGGCTTCCCTTACGTCAACCTTGTGTTGAGCCGGTATCAGCTTCATCACATCAGCATGATTGATTAAATCATTGGCCATTGATGATTGAACTCAATCTCCAGCCCCCTCTCCCCTCCCAAGATGTCAGGAGGTTGGAGGGTGGGGACTGAAAGTTCCAACCTTCTAATCACAGGGTTGGGTCCCCTGGCAAGCAGCCTCCATCTTTAGGTGACCTGGGGGCTTCCCAAAAGTCACCTCATTAACATAACAAAAGACACCTTACTGCCTCTCTCACTTAGGAAATTCCAAGGGTTTTAGGAGCTCTGTGCCTGGAACAGGGACCAAGACAAAATATGTGTTTCTTATTATAAATCACAATATCACACCTTCCAAGAAGACTAACACAAGAATTCATCTGGAACACTGAAAGCCATTATTTGGTCTAGCTTCTCACTCAATGTGGTGGACTTTCTTTGGTATCCAACACATATAGTGACTGAACCTTGCTTAGATTAAGCCCAACTCTGTCTCCTTAACTATTCACCAATTGGTTCTTCTCTGAAAGAGTAACTTGTGCCATTAAATAAAACCCAAGTTTTAATCCTGGCTCCTCATCTTTGACCTTGGGGAGTAACTTTTCACTCTAACTCTGTTTCTTCATTTGCAAAGTCAGGTCCTGCTTTGCTTACGTCACAGGGTTGTCAGGAAAGGGGAAGAAGACAGTAACCATTTACTAGACGTCTACCACGTGCCAGGTGCTGTGATGAACACCGTATACACGCCGAGCTATTAACACTCCCCACCCTGTCACCATACACGTCCCCGCCGGGCCAACACGTACTCCTGACAGAGAACCTGAGCTTTGCCCACACCTGACACCTTCCTTCCGCCTGAGAGACACCGCCACTGCACACCGCTCCACCCGCCCGGGAGCCGCGCCTGCGCAGAGGGGCGCGGGCGACCGGAAGTTGCCTCTGCTTCTTCGCACGCGGTCTCCCCCTGCGGCCTTGCTAGACGCTCTTGGTGCCGTGTGCAAAGGAGTACGGAGGACTGCGCATGCACCGACTGTCCCTGGAACTCGCCTTTTTCCCGGAGCCCTGAGGACGGCACGGCACCTTGCCCTTTAGCAGTTCCCCATTTCCCTGTCTTTGGCGGGTGCTCCAGGGCACGAGCTCTCGTCTCCATTCCTTGATCCGGAATGAAGCTTCTGCTCTGCTGGTGCCCGCTCGTTCTCTGGGCACGAGCGGCTCCGGCGAAGGACCCAGTGCGGGTCCGCGGCCCCTTGAGGCTCGGTGACAGTCCTGGAGGCTGGCGATGTGATTCCCGTTGTACCGAGGAGAAGGCTGAGGCTGAGCCACACTGAGCACCCTCCCAGGTAGCCAGAGACCGAGGACCGGAGGCAGGCCCGGGGCTCAGCCGTCCCCGCTGGCCGCTGTGCGCTGGGCCCGAGAAAGCACGTCGTGCAGCCGGTTATCCGCACACGTCACGTGTCGCGGTAGCCTCCTCTCGTCCAGGGGAAGCACTCTCAGTCCCTCCGAGTGTCCTCTGATGAGCTGTCATTTCCCCACATGGGAGTCACTGTCCTCACGGAGGAGCGCGTTCTCACCCTCCACGTGGGATGCAGGAACCAGAGCAGGAGTCGCGTCCTGGCGTGCGGGGAGGGAAAGCCCGGATGCCACTCGGCTCTCCAGCCGTCAGACGTGTTTGCTAAGTTTCTGAATACAGATGAGCTAAAGCTTTGTTGTCACCCTACCCACTGGCTTCAAGGGTCAGACATGCTGGAACTGGTGCTGATGTCACCCAGGGAAGTCTCCAAAACTTTGTCCGTGTCTAATGCTTTGGGGTTTTTTGTTGTTCTTGTTTTTGTTGGGTCATAATAGTTTATAATATTGTGAAATATTAGTTGTACATTATTATTTGTCAGTCACCATATAAATGAGCCCCTTCACCCCTTGTGCCCACCCCCCAATCTACTTCCCCCTGGTAACCACCAAACTGTTCTCTCTGGCCATGTGTTAGTTTATATTCCACATATGAGTGAAATCATGTGGTGGTTGTCTTTCTCTGTCTGGCTTATTTCGCTTAACATAATATCCTCCAGGTCCATCCCTGTAGTTGCAAATAGGACGATTTTGTCTTTTATATGGCTGACTAGTATTCCACTGTATATAGATACCACAACTTCTTTATCCCATCATCAGTCAGTGGACACCTGGGTTGCTTCCACTTCTCGACTATAGTGAATAATGCTGCAATGAACATAGGGGTGCATAAGTCTCTTTGGATTGGTGATTTCAAGTTCTTTGGATAAATACCCAGTAGTGGGATAGCCGGGTCCTATGGTATTTCTATTTTTAATATTTTGAGGAATCTCCATACTGTTTTCCATAGAGGCTGTGCCAGTCTGCATTGCCACCAGGAGTATATGAGGGTTCTCATTTCTCCACAACCTCTCCAACATGTTATTTTTTGTCTTGGCGATTATAGCCATTCTCATAGGTGTAAGGTGATATCTTAGTGTAGTTTTGATTTGCATTTCCCTGATGATTAGTGATGTTGAACATATTTTCATGTACCTATTGGCCATCTGTATATCTTCCTTGGAAAAACATCTGTTCATTTCCTCTGCCTATTTTTTGATTGGGTTGTTTGTTTTTTGTTGTTCAGTTGTGTGAGTTCTTTATATATTATGGAGATTAACCCCTTGCAAATATTTTCTTCCAGCTGGTGGGTTGTATTTTCATTTTGATCCTGGTTTACTTTGCCTTGCAGAAGCTCTTTAGTCTGGTGAAGACTCACTTATTTGTTTTTTCTTTTCTTTCCCTTGTCCGAGTAGACATGGAATTCGAAAAGATCCTTCTAAGACGGATGTCAAAGAGTGTACTGCCTATATTTTCTTCTAGGAGTTTTATAGTTTCAGGTCTTACCTTCAAGTCTTTGATCCATTTTGAGTTAATTTTTATGTATGGTGTAAGATAATGGTCTACTTTCATTCTTTTCCATGTGGCTGTCCAGTTTTCCCAACACCATTTATTGAAGAGACTTTCCTTTCTCTGTTGTATGTTCTTAGCTCCTTTGTTGAAGATTAGCTGTCTGTAGATGTGTGGGTTTATTTCTGGGCTTTCAATTCTGTTCCATTGATCTGTATGTCTGTTTTTGTACCAGTACCATGCTGTTTTGATTATTATAGCTTTGTAGTATATTTTGAAGTCAGGGATTGTGATGCCTCCAGCCTTGTTCTTTTTCCTCAAGATTGCTTTAGCTATTCGGGGTCTTTTGTTGCCCCATATGAATTTTCTAATGCTTTAAGTTGTACTTGCATATAGGAACCAAGGCAGAACATTGCCAGATGGCCAAACAGCAGAACCGGTCCAAACCAGAAAGCTCCAAGACGGTGATGGGGTGCCGTGCACAAAAGGTGCCATGTGCAAGAAGGGAAGGTCTGCACATGCCCCAAATGCCCCCACCCCGATCAATGACGTGGAGACCCCTCCCCCTTCACATCCCATAAGAACCTGCTCACCTTCCCTTTGGGGAGAAGGTGTTTAGAGCACGTGCTCTGCCTGCTCCATTCATTCATCAATGAGCAAAGTTTCTGCTCTGCTATTCTGAACCTGGTCTCGTTCTATTGGCAGGAGCGGCTCTGGGCAAAAGGACCCACATGCAGGTCACTGGTCTCTTAGGGCTGGGTGACAGTGAGATGAATCAGTCAGTGTAGACTCTGAGTTCAACATCTTTAGAATTGTCTGTAAGAGGACATGGAGACAGGAGTATTGTTACAGAGCCCCTGACCACTCCACCTGCAAGGAAAAGCTACCGTAAGCTAACTGCATTTTAGGGCCTCTCTGAGCTGAGAGAGAAAACTGTCAGTGTTTAGTGGCCTGGAGAGAGATAGTTTCTTTTACCTACATAGTTGAACTTGAAACCACAGGACCAGGAACAGAATTTGCCACCCCAAAATATGCCTCGTAGGCATATGGGCTATTTTGAGCTGATGATTATTAAAAAACAGCAGCCACGGGGAAAGCTCTGAAAACCTAGTAGAAGTTACCCTTTTGTAAGGGAAATGTATATTTTTACAAGAGAAATCTCCATTTGTAAGGGTGCCTCCATCTCTGTGCCTGGAGGAGGTTGACTCAATCTCTAGAAACTTACCAATGGAGAAGGCAATGACTTAAATCTGCCTAACAACCATACCCTTGTTTACTGTGCTTTTCCTGGTAACCTCCCATAACTGACCCCATCTTAACAACAGGATGTTAAAGTTATTTTTCAGGGGCTGCGCGACCCTGGAGCATGCATGGAAGAGAAAATGTTGATCAGCCAATTGAAACTCATCCTGCCAGCCCTTCCACATACCTGCTGGCCCTCCCTGATCCCTTAAACCTTACCCCAAACCTTGGATGGTGAGACAGATTTGAGAGCCTGACCTCCTGTCTCCTTGCTGATCCATTGTGCAATAAAGCCATTCTTCCCTCAAAGACCAGTGTGCCACGGTGTCAGCTTCTGCGTGCATCGGGTGGCAAGCCTTTGCTCAGTAACAAACTGTAAAATAAAATTTCCAAATGCTGAAGCATATCAGTGGAGCCAGTGTGATCACAATGAGCAGATCTCTGTATCTAGGACTTATTCTAGGAGAATAAGGAGAATATTCTCTGGGCCCCTGGGCTAAATGTAATGATAAGATTAACAAAAAAGCAAGACGTTATTTTTTCAGATGTTAGAGCTTTCCTGGTTCTAAACGAACAGGGTGTTGCTAATTTATTATCTTTTACTACCTTGTTTTTCTATTTTTGGCCAAAATGAGAGGAAAAGATGTTTTGTATTTCATATAAGAATGATTTTCTCCAGTAACAGTTGTGAGAAAAAATTATGTGCAATAACAGCCACCTAATATATTTTTATATTAAAATGTACTCAAGACAGGTGACATGTGAATAGAGGGACTAAAAATGATGAGTTTACTGATGTAAGTGCTTGAATGCTACAGCAAGGGTAGCTCCTTCTTGAGTAAGATCTGAGAGAAGAGGTGCCTTCCGGAGGCCTTTCTTGAGCTGTGTCTACAGTGACCAGCCCCTCCTGTCCATCTCCCCAGCTCCACTCCCTTCCTTCACGTTTCTGTCAGACATCTCCTTGTTCGTATTTGCTTCTTGTGCATCTCTCCTCCACAGGAATGCAAATTCCAGACCTTGTTTTGACATCCCGTGCATGGAACACTGTGCGTGTAGTCAATATTTGTTGAATGAATGAATCCATTTTTGAAAACATGACATTGCCAACCACTTACTCTTAGCCTACCAGTTGATGTTCTTTTGATTTGTTTCTTGTTTTTGCTGTTGTTCAGTCTGTCAATGGTTTATTATATCTTTTCTCCTCCTCATTGTAGATTTATTTGTGGATATAATTCCAGTCATTCTAATTTACGGTATTATAGTGGAAAGGCATTTATTAGACACTTAATTGAGCAGTGTTTGGTGTGAGGTGTCTTATAACAAGGTTTTGCTAATAAAGTACTAGAGCTTGTGGATTTTTAAAGAAATAAATTAGAGTGGATTTTTTTTTTTTTTAATTATATCACTGACACGTGTTTTCTTGAGTAGGAGAGAAAAGGGTGGGCTGCCAGGACTTGTTCCTGACTCTGGGCACGCAGAGCCAGTATGCTGAGAAGAAAGACTGAGATCCATTGCTCTAGAGGCAACTTTGTCTCTCCTGCCTGGGCTGGGAGGAGTGAGATTGTTACAGCCCTGGTTTCAGCTGAAGACAAACCGAGCCATGGGATACGTGTTAACTCGGTTAGGTTGAAAACTGGGGCAGTATCTGACGCATGGGTGCGAAACTCAGTGCCAGGGACCCTGGGAGTTCTCAGTAAATAGGGGTGGATCTTAGCAATAATGCTGGGTCTCCAACCAATACCTGATGGTTTCATTTTACAACGTGTATGGGGAGAGCAGGAATCATGGCTGAAGCTCAGAGGGTCTGGCACAAGGTGTTTAGAAAAATCATTTTATTTCTTATGTTTTGGGCATGGGAACTAAAGGGGAACAGTGTATTTCTTTGTGCCTTGGGAATCACATAACCTCACATCTTGGCTTTGACATGGTTGTGAAATATATTTTCTATATATGAGGAATTTATAGAAAACTCATGTTCATGTTGAATAATTTTAAGATTGATTAGTTATTTATACATTTCTTTCTAATTGTGTTTTTGATTTTTTTTTCTTTTTACCTTGCAAAAGAAGTAGGTTTTGGCCATAAAAATCCAAACTATCACTGGGGACAATAAACTTCACCAATGTCATGACAAAATGGCTTATCAGTAGTAGTTAAAACAATCCAGGAATTGGTAAAGATATTTTCAGTTGTTCTTGTGAAAGAGTTACTTCTTAAGATAAATCCAAAATATGTAAAATATTGAAGTACAAATACTTAGCAAATGTACTTACACACCAAAAATTAAAAACATTTAGGAGACTATATATTTGCCTAAGGACTCAATGAAAGACTTGAAAATATTTTGTTCTATAGTCACACATTTCATTACAAATTTCTTTTATTTTGTATCCAATAGAAAAGCAAGTTTGGAATCTATTTACAAGTACTGTACATTTACATATATTACACACAATTAATGAATTTTAAGAAAATAGGCAGAGAAACACAATATATATGGAAGAATATGCCACTGTACATGGTTTATTATCATGGTCCTTAGTGTTACTGAATCTTTACTGTAGTAATAAATACAGTTCTGTATTTACACATCTTATAAAACATCTCATAAATGCATTTTTTTCAATTCCAAGTTAAAACATCTGATCAAAATAAACATGCTTATACAAAAATAAATCTACTAACAGTCTTTTGCTTTGGATGCATTGAAGCTAATGTAGTAAAACAGAAGTTAGAATTCATCCTTTGACCTTCAGTATTTAATAATTTCACCTCTTCAAATGCCTAACATACGTATTAAATAAGGAATAAGCAGAGAAGTCGTGTTCCTGACATCAAGTGGGTTGACACAGCTAAAACCACGCTAACTAAACAGCGTTACATGTTACCGAGTCTGCTGAGTCCAAAGTGGCTTCAGACATTGTTGCTACTAGAGACACACATGTGAGAAGTTATGTCGTGTCTGCATTTGATCATTACCTTAAGATGCACGTCAGTTTGAATCAACTGATAAGAATTCCTGCGAAAAATGTGCTCTCACCCAGAAAAAAAAATCCCAGATTGCCGACCATCTTTTCTAGGTCCATCCATTGCCTGCAATGGACTTTTCTTCTGAGCTCTGGGCACCAAGGAGTTAAAAATGAATTAGCTATGGCAAAGCTCACCTGTTCATGATTGCCTTCATGGCAATTTAAGAGTTTAAGTTCATTTTCCTTTCTAAATATTTGTAAGCAGTTTTATTCCACTGAGGGTGGAACCATCTAGTACTGAAACATTAAATCCGGCATCTCTAAAAATGACGTGACTATGAATTAATTAATAGTGCCTTACATTACCCATTCACAGGGGACTGGTGACCTGGCGGGGCAAAGCAGGGGAGGGCTAACACACATCCACCTGGTCATTAGAATGAACTCCCACCTTCACAGCCTCTACCGAGTAACGGAGGCCACTTAAAACTCTTGTTTTCCTAATACCTCCAACCGTCTTTTAAGGGGTTTTCTGGTTTAAAATCCCTTTTGTAAGCAAGTGGTCCCCCTGCCCCAAATCATTAGATTGGTGAGCTTAAAAAGAACTGAAATGAAATCATGGAGAATCTTTTTTGAACATTTCAGTCTGCTTTTTTAAAATCTAGCTTACCTAAATAGTGTGACTGATCCATCTCTCAGCTGAACGAATTAGATGAGCAGCATTTAGACTTATTTTTCACTCTCTAGTATCAGTACGTTTTCAGCTTTTCACACTGAGATTTTAAAAGAAGTCAAGTTTCAACTGAGCACTTTTTAGTTACTGTTCAGCTGTACTCAATCTCACATTTTTGGATTTTCGATTTTTGAAAACTTTCTCTCACATATTAATTAGAGACATGGGACGAATGCCACAGACGAATGACGACAGCTTTCAGTCACTGGATGCGCTGGTGGAGCCGGGGGCTGGGAGGCAGGTCGCAGGCCGCGCGGGCTCTGGGGAAGGTCACCAGGGCTTGGGTGGAGTCGCAGGACCGTTTCTCGACATCCTCCGAGTTAACAGACATCAGGCTTGGGTGTTGTGATCTTGTCCAGAAGTAGGTGTGCTTTCCCAGGCTCCCCAGATCCTCCTTAAAATGGGGATTGAAGAGGATGTACAGAAGGGGGCTCAGGCAGGCAGGAAGTGGGACAATCACCAGAAGGAGAAACTTAACGACGTCAGGACTGACAAAGGTGAGGTTTAGCAAAGAGGAGAAGGACAAGAAAGCCACGGGGCAGTAGAGGACACAGTTGGTGAAGAGCACGAGAGCCACGTGCTTCACCATGGGGCAGTCCCAGACGCTCCCCAGGTCGCCCTTGTCCAGGCCGCAGTAGAGCCAGGTGTAGGCCACGGTCATCACGAGGAAGCAGAGGGAGTTGAGCAAGACGAGGGTCACCATGTAGCCCGTGGTGCCGGGCTCCCCGAAGGGCAGTGGCAGGCAGAGCGGCGATGTGCTGTACTCACGGCCACCCAGCAGGGGAACTGAGGCCAGGGCCAGGGCCAGGGCGGCACACAGCAAAATGATGGCTTTCAGGCTGGAAAAGGGGGTTTTCCTTTCAAAGTTTGCAGAGCATTTCACAGAGAACCCACGCTCCAGGGCTGCCAGAGTAAGCAGGAAAACAGATAATTCCGAAGCAAAAATGGACAAAAAACCGACGACTTGGCAACCGACGCCCTGCTCCCACCGTGCACCATGCTGAGCAAAGCTGCCGAAGGTGACCGCGTCCACGCCAGCCAGCACCGCGCTGCAGACCCCCATGAGCATGTTCATGGCAGCTATTAACCCAATTAGCAGTTTTATGGAGGAAAGGCACAGAGGAGCTCTGAACACCGTCGAAGTCACCAAGGCATTACAAGTAACGGCCAAAACCGCGATGGTCCACACTCCAGTTCTGATCAGCCAGCTACCCAACAGGGATTCGCAGAGTTTGAAGGGGCCTGGAAGTCCAAGGAAGAAGAAGACTGGGTATCAAATTAGGGTTTACAACTTTTGCCAAATTACAAAAATTTTGCCAAATTTTTGTTTCTCTTATTAGGACACCAAGAGACAGGGGCCACTAAGAGCCACGGTTCACAGTCCCCTTGCGGCTCGCTCCACTTCCTTCAGCCACTGTCCTCGTCGCCTCAGGTCCTCAGCAACACTGACTGGGTGAGTGCACCAGGTGCACACAAATAATGGAGACGGGGAACTTAAACCACTTGATTAAGGTCCCCCAAATACAGCAGCGTTGGGGCCACATAAGATCTCCTGGGCTTTTCATTATATTTTTTCAGGATGCTTCAAAAAGATCCTGTAAGCAGAGAAGGAGAATCCCAGGGAAACAGTCCATAATATCAGGAGAGGAAGGAAGGGTAGTGTGAAGGTGCATGTCATCAGGTTCAGACTGACATCTGGTGTTTGGGAGCAGGGGACAATCTAACCGTTGAAAATAAAACATCAACCCTTTTCAGTTGTCATTTTTTTCAACTGGCCCATCCTGTTTCTGGGAATGGGACAAAAAAATTAAGTGAAGTCAATATATATAGACATTTTTTTACTTATCTGTATAAACTATTATTTGCTTTAACCAAATACCTATTTAAAAGAAAGTTAAAAGAAATCACTTTCAAAAATCAGTAATTACATGAAGCAAGACTGTGGCATACTAGTTCAGGCTAAATTGCTAATATTATTTTAAAAATTATATATGCTTTTAATTACATGATTGATTCTTTACTTTCCATTAATCTGAATCAAAAGTCTCCCACAAAAATCCTATTTATGAATGGAGACCAACTCCAGGGAACGAACATTTGTATTTTAAAGGTGCCCATGGGGAGGGACACTGACGAGCTGAAAAGGTGGCACAGATTTTGCTTTGAAGGTCAGCCAAAATGTCACTGAGTCAGTGGTGGTCCTGCTGCCGAGGCCGTTCTGATGCTTCCTCACCTGGGGAAGGCGAGCACTGCACCGGATGAAGGGCTTTCAGGTCTTCCTCCAAGTCAAGCAGGACATCTTCAAGATCACGCTCATCTGCAGGAACCAGAAGGCCTGGAATGATGAGTTCTGCTTCTCTTCTCAGGGACCAAGTCCCAGGGAGGAGAGTCCTGGACTGCCCTCGAGACACCCAATGGGACGGAAGGTCAGACACCCCACTTTTCCCTGGGCTCTGGCTTTCTTGCAAGTCTATTATAGAGTAGACCTTGGATGTTCTCCTCAAGCTGCTCTGTGACATAGCATTCTAGCAGAACCGGGAGAAAGGCAAGAACCTGACTCCCAGTCACAGCATCTAAGGTGCCTCATTCTGTTCTTGTTTCCTGGAGCTCCCGGTGGCTCCAAATTGCACTGACCTAAATCAGAGAGAGGCTATGGGCTCTCCATTCAGCGGAAGAGCCACTTCATCCAATTTTCCAACACTTGGATAGCTACAGTGCACATGTTCTGGGCTGTGTTCTCCAAGCACAAGAGGGAGAATCAGGTAGAGCAAGTTTCCATCTTTTCTGGAGAATTCTGCTTAAAGAGAACAAATCAAGCAACTACGCAGTGCTTGTTGTCCATGAAACAGGAGTTTTGTGACTTGACACAGGAAGGTGCTGATTTAATTGGTCTGTGTGGGGCTTGGGAATCAGTATTTTTTAAAAGCTTCCATGTGATTCCAATATGTGGCCCAGGGTTGGGAATAACTGCCCTTGAAATAAACCCCATGAAGAACCTCGTCCCTCTTATTCCCTGTGTACCCCCAGGGCCCAGAACAGTGCCTGGCACAGAGCATGACTTGAATTGGTGGTTTGTTGTTTTTTTTGAGTGAATAATATAGTAGAAATTAGGGTGGATGAGGCAGGAAGAGCAAAAACTAAAGCAAGAGCCAGAGTAAGACACATCCTGCGCCTGAAACCAAAAGCCAAGACATCAGCTCCTCAAACCGACCGTGTGCAGGAGAAACGTTCCACGATGTGCACACAGACCAGGAGTCAACACGTGGCTGGGCCCCGAAGGAAGGAAGGCCAGTCTGTTCAGACTCTGTGCAGACCTGCAAGGCTGGCAGGGAAAGGACGGGGGCTGCCTGGAGCACCGCCCCACCTCACAGGTGTGGTCTGAGGCGCTGCTGTCTGAGTCAGGTCCCACTTCAAGGAAAGCCGTCTCCACAGACATTATCTCATTTCCCCTTCCTGACGGACACCCCCGCGGGCCCAGGACAGGAGGACATTTTAGAATTAGTTGGATAAGAAGCTGGATTCTGCAGCCCTTTTGCTGAAATACAGAGGCACCTAAGACGCCTATGTCCTCCACTGCCCCCAGGCCATAAGAATAAAAATTCTATCTTCTGGAGAAAAAAGCTCAGAAGCATGTTTGAAAAGGGATCCACAGGGATGGGGCCCTTTTAAAAGTCTATGGACATACTGATATTAATATTAATAATTACTCCTGAGGACAATATATGCCAAGGGGGATCTAATTATAAACATAAATATTAGGAATTCACTTACAGAAAAGAGGAAGTTTTAGAATGAATCTGGAAGGAGAGTTCTCTTTCTCTAGAGTCTTTTTTTTTTAAAGGTTTTATTTATTTATTTTTTTTACCCCAAAGCCCCAGTAGATAGTTGTAGGTCATAGCTGCACATCCTTCTAGTTGCTGTATGTGGGACGCGGCCTCAGCATGGCCGGAGAAGCGGTGCATCGGTGCGCGCCCGGGATCCGAACCTGGGCCGCCAGCAGTGGAGCGCGCGCACTTAACCCCTAAGCCACGGGGCCGGCCCTCTCTAGAGTCTTTAAACAGTGGGATTGACTCCCGGCTTGCTGGGGTGGTTACACGGGGACTTGTCTGGAGTTGAGATGATCTGTTTGATGACTTTTCAAGACCCTTCCAGACACAGTTTCACCCCGTGACAGAGCAGGTCTTACCTTGGACTTGAAACATTCCAGCATCCTTCTTATGAAGGTCATCTGTGCTGCTGTTGTCACCCTTATTCCTCGGACTGGAAATTTTGTAGCCGTTCTCACAGGCCCCAAATGCGCAGCATTGGTAAGCATAAGGCATTTCTATAACCCTTTGAATGAACAAAACCGAACAAAACACACTTGAAGAAATAGGTTGTTAAATACAGTGTTCATCTTCTCTCACTCAATAATTCTGCCTGTGGATTTTAGCTTTAATAAATAATCTAAAATATTAACTATGTGCATAAAGATGATCATTACAGTGCTATTTTTAACAACAATGGAGTTATTAAAAATTATTGCTATGAAATGTTGATAATTGCTGAGGCTGAGGATGGGTGTATATTATTTTCTCTACTTTTGTGTTTGAAAATTTTCATAAGAAAAGGGTTAAAAATGACTGCTAGGAAAATTGTAGCACCATTAAAAAGTGCTTATGGTATGATAGAATGCTAAGTGATGAAAACATGATATGTTTGTATACATACTGTGATTCTAACAATCAAAGATACATTGGAAACAAAGTCTGGAAGGAAATAACATAAAAAGTTGTTTAGGGGATGTTTTTAGATTTTTTTCCTCTCTTCTACTTTCCAAACTCTCTTTTGGGGTTATGGTTTTAAAAATATGTAAAAAGTACTGTGGTTTAAAATATATATATGTTTGTATATATCATCTTTCAAGGAACTTCTTGATTGATAATAAGCAAAACAGGTTTTAAAGAGCATTACTTCCTCAAATAAATATCAATTCAGTACATTTTATTAGAACATACACACAAGCTAGATGAATTTAAAAATGTAAACAGGAGTCCAATAATGTTATAACGTTATTTAATTACATGTCCTAGTTTATATCCATGGATCAATGGTTTTCAAACTATTTCCATGAACCCTCTGACTCTGGGAGGCATCTTTGAGAAAGAAGGAAAACGTGCTCAGGGGGACACATCCCTGCTCAGGGCTTGTCCTAACAAGGCCCCAGGGGTGGGGACTTGAGGGCATGAAATGCAATTCAGAAGAGTCCCATGACCTCATAAATTTTGAAAACTACTATAACACGTCTATTATTTCACATGACCACAAATGTATCTTATTAGTTTTAACGACAAACTCACTTGAGTTCTGGAAAGTTTTCAGATGATATCAAGCCCTGTAAGGCATGATTTCCTGTTAATTTTAAGTGAGTTAAACCATGTAACCCTGTTACGGGAAAGGACGACAGGAGGTTGGACGATAGGTCCCTGCAAAACATCAAACAACAATGGCTTTTAGTCTGTGTTAGCATAAAACGTTTATATTAAAAAAGCAACCTAAAGATTATTAAAATGCTCCATAAAACTTGTAAGCAAGGTCCTGACTCTTATTGGTAAAAGTAACCATTTTGGTTTTAGCTCCTGATAACTTTTCTATTTACAATCAGAATTGCAGGGGGAAAAATGTTTTAATCACATCCACACTGTAATTTCTACATTCAGCTTAATTTTGCCAGGTGGGGACGTCTAAAACCAAATGCAAGGTGCTACATCTAATTGGAAAAATGATGCTGACTGGATTCAGTTAGGGGTGAGGGGGAGACGCTGTCAGGGTTTATTCCCTTCCTTCTCTCCTTAACTTCTGTCTGACCAACTTCTTCTTTCTCTCTGAGACAAGGGAGAGGGGAGAGGAAGGAGCAAGAGGTGGAAAGGGGAGGAAAACAAGGACAAGACGCTTTTCTACCAGTCAAGACAGCGAACTATAACGTGCAAGCCCTTTAGAACTGACTGACATCTCACTCCGCTCCTCCTGACTGCTCAGCAACACGGGAACTCTCGTCTCAATAACCAGAGCCGGCTGTTGCCCAGATCTCCAGCTATGCAGGTGAGGGCCCTCGTGGCCTTGGAGGTAGGCTCCTCTCTCCTCTGACAGCTCTACTGTGGAGGACACTGCGCGCTAGCCATTCTGTGCACTGCAGGCTTCCTCAGCAAAACCAACGTTTCTATTAATTAGAAGGCCCCCAATTATTAAAAGACATACCATAGACAAGCATGAAATACTCACAGCTTTCTGAGAGATGGCAAAGTAGAAAATGCGTTGGGATGAATAATGACAATTTTATTCCAAGCTAAATTTCTATTAAAAAAAAAAGAAACACAAGTGAGAGGATTATATAAAAAAGAAGACTGTGTGAAGTTTTACCATATATATGCATTATTCTACCAAAATTTAATTTCCATTCAGGACACGAACAATTAGCATATCAAATCATCCTTTAGATAAAGATACTGGTAGATAAAATGACTAAAGACAAGGGGCTGGCCCAGTGGCGTAGTGGTTAAGTTCACGTGCTCCACTTTGGTGGTCCAGGGTTCTCAGGTTTGGATCCCAGACTCTGTGTACCACTCATCAAGCCATGCTGTGGTGGCGTCCCATATACAAAATAGAGGAAGATGGGCACAGATGTTAGCTCAGGGCTAATCTTCCTCAGCAAAA